CTACCTTTTCCTGGAATTGTTCTCCATCTCTGATCCTGTTACTTACATTGCCTTCCTCAATAACTTTAGTACTGATTTCATGACTTTCTACTTCAGGAACATCAATGTCTTTCTGGTCTTCTTGTATCCTTGCCCAGCTCGGGCCCAGGATTGCCATTTCAACTGTGCTTTGAAGACATGTTAACTCCTTTGCCCCTTGTCTGTTGGCCACACTCACTTTCCTAGTCCTGAGCTTTATGTAAATCACATCATTGCACTTCCTTTGTTTTTATTCTTAGGCTGCTGAACTTTCTTTTTTTAAAAGATTTATTTATTTGAAAGGCAGAGAGAGAGAGAGAGAGAGAAATCTTCCATTCACTGCTTCATTCTCTAACTAGTTAAACAGTCAGGGTTGGGCCAGGCCAAACCCAGGAACCTGGAAACTCATCTGGGTCTTCCATGTGGGTGGAAGGGACCCAAGTACTTGGGCCATCATCTGTCATCTTCCCAGGTGCATTAGCAGTAAGCTGGATCAGAAGTAGAGCAGCTGAGACTCAAATAGACAGCCCAGTACGGGATGCCAGCAACATAAGCAACAGCTAAACCCATTGTACCACAAAGCCTGCCCCCAAGAACTACTGAACATTTTGAAGAAAGTCTCAAAACTTAAATACAAACATCTACCATCACTCAAGTCTTGGCTGGGCAGCTCCTATAGGAAAATATGGACATGGTAGCCCTAGAATGCCACATCTGTGCTATTCTACGTTGCCTGATGGGGGTCAGTAAATTCAGCACCCTTTCTTTACTCTCTTTAGCCTCCTCACTGCATTTGATACTATGTACTTGCTCTCCAAACTCACATAGAAAATCTTTGCTTCTAAGAGGAAATTTCCAGTTTTTCTTTTGCCTTACCTTATAAAAGCAGAATTTTCCTTAAAATTCTCTTCTCTTACTGATTTCACAACTTTAAATATCACATCTGTGTAAATTATATTATTAACTCAAGCTTTTTATTTGAATAGCTTGCTGTTTCCAAGTGATCTAAATGTGCTGCTGGGGTCTCAAATGTGGAGTTTGTATGGAAAAGTTACAATTTCATATTTATTTAATTCAGTCTGGGTTGGAAATTATAACTGAAACTAGAGGTTATAAAATACAACTATCATATAATCAAAGGTTATTGGTACAGGTGTTTTGGGTTGACTAAACTTTCTGCTAGCTGTTATGTGTAGTGAAGTGAGAGATAATGTTAATAAATATTTAGATACCAATTGCCTAGAAGTTAAAATAAATCTTTATTTTGTATACTATAATCATGAAATTGAATTTTCATCTTTTAGTACAAAGTAAAAGATCTTTATTGAAATACTGAAAATAATACTCTTCATTTGTAACTTTGAGATATGAATATTAAGGAGTTTATTTAAAATAAAATAATAAATTTTATTTATTTTGTTTATAAAATAAAATTGTTTATTTCAGATTGTAAATTAACTGCGGAGGTTACTTTCAGGCTACCAGACTTTTGTAAATTAACTGCTCTCTAGGGCTGTGGTTCTCAAACTTGACCATTCATTAGCTGAGCTCTCACTGTTAGAAATCTGATGCAATCATACTAGAGGGACAATAGGGCATTGGTAGTTTCACAAGCATTCCAGGTGATTCCAAAGTTGAACTGTTGCTTACAGTGTACTCGTTTTAAATTGCTAGGAAAATATGGGATACCTAGTTAAATATTAACAATGAAACATTTTTACTGTAAGTATTTTATTTTTAACTGGGCATTTTGTATTTTTATTTTCCAGACTTGTCAATCCTATCATTTCACTATTATATGAATTCATTGGAAGTAAGAAGTTAAATTACATTCCATAATGAGTGTGAAGGTTGTCAGAATCAAAATAGAGTGATTTTTGTGAAACCCTAAACAAATAAATACAAGAGGTTATGAAGAGAGGCTCTCATGCACGCATGCCTGATAACAGGAACAATCAGAAAAGACACTGCCCCATAGTTACGACCTTGCACAAAGCTCACTAGGACTTTACTCAGAAAATACGCCTGAAAGGGTGTCTGTCCAACAATTGCCTGTAGAACCTTGGGCTGATGCCACTCTTGTAGCTAGGATTATTAACTCAAAATAATTTATGTAATCCTCCTCACGTTGCCTTTAAAACTTTCCCCTGGTCTCAACCTCCTCATTTATTATGTATATTCCTGTGGGGAGCAACTGGGAGCAACTCGGACTAGACTAAGTTACTGGAATTAAGACTTATTCTATGCATCTGCTCTCCCACAATATGGCACTGGGAGAGGAGGAAACAGCTTCTACACAGCTGCCTCCAGTTCAACCAATAAACTGTAGGACCTGATCCTGATTGGAGGAGAGCAGCGTACTCGGCGTTGTGGGTAGCAGAGTTGGGATTGGCGGAAGAGGACTATAAAGGAGGAGAGAGACAACATGCACCAGGAACATCTATCTGAAGGAACACCTGAGCAGCCCCTGAGAGAGCTGGCCGGCGGTGTGCCGCTCCCCTGCGGAAGTGGGGAAAGTGGCTAGGGGGAACTGCCCTTCCACGGAGGTGGAAGGGTCGGTAGCCAACCCGGGAAGAACCAGCAGCAAACCCGGGGAGGGCCGAGCAGACGAAAGAACAGCGCAGGGTCCTGTGTCGTTCCTCCACGAAGAGGGGGAGCGACATACTCCCATTCCAATGTTCTGCAATTCCTGAATAAATTTACTAATTTTTGGAGAATCTGTTTGCTATTTAGGTTTTGAACATCAGAAAACATCAATACTTGTCTTCTTTCAGGCTTCTTCATAATAAACATTTTACCTGTAAAAATGTATTTGTTGAAAAAGAAGTCCTTGTAAATTCATCCAAGTGGTCTGTATTTTCCTGTAGGAGCTGCCCGTATTCCCCCTTCTGTTTTCCGCGGAGTTCTCTCCAACAACAGAAGGTGAAGTCTCTTTCAGGCTTCAAACCTCTCTGACATCTGTTCTGGCTTTCTGATTCCAGCTGGAGAAAGTTTATTGCTTTTAAAGGCTCATGTGATAATGTTTGGTTTCCCTAGGTAACTCAAGATAATCTCGCTATTTGTGTCCCTAACCTTATTTATAATAGTAAAGCCTATGTAACATATTCACAGGTTCCAAGGATTACCATTATGATGTGGCCTTGCTGCCTAGTGGAGTTATCTCAGTGTTAATCTTCACCTCTCTCTTCTATTAGACCCCTAGCCTCACCTCTTTGTTATGGCTTCCTGAAAGGATGCCTGAAAAGAATACCTAAAACTTTGCCTCTCTGAAAGTATCTATTTTAAAAAAGATTTATTATTTATTTGAAAGTCAGAGTTACACAGAGAGGAGAGGCACAGAGAGAGAGGTCTTTTTAAAATCTCATACTTCATTGGCTTCAATGTTGGAAATCTTTCTCCCTCGATTTATTTTGTATACATTTCTTTTTTTTTTTTCTTTCTGGAAGTGATTCAGATTTTTCTGACTCATTTGCTTTGAAATTTCATCATAGCGTATTTTAGTATAGAGGGTTTTCAGCAGCTGAGCAAACAGTGTAGGTGCTGTAGTTCTTCAGTTCTGGTAACTGTCATGTTGGTTTTCTTTGACAGGTCTCTTTCTGCTGTTAGTTATGAACCCTCCCTTATCTAAATTTCCTGGCTAGAACCTCCAGTATTCATTTGAGAGGTAGAGCTACAGACAGTGAGAGACAGAGAGAAAGGTCTTCCATGTGCTGGTTCATTCCCCAAATAGCTGCAATGGCTGAACTGAGGAAATCCGAAGCCAGGAGCCAGGAGCTTCTTCCAGGTCTCCCACATGGGTGCAGGAGCCCAAGTGCTTGGGTCATCTTCTACTGCTTTCCCAGGCCATAGCAGAGAGCTGGATAGGAAGAGGAGCAGCCAAATGGGAAGCCAGTGCCTCAGGCATAGGATCAAAATGCTGGCCCTGGGCTTTTTTTAATCATGAAAAGGTGTTGGATTTTGTGAAATGCTTTTCCTTCACCTATGGAGATGATCAGGTTAGTTTTTGGTTCTTCCGTCTGTTAAAACGGTGTATTACAATGACTAATTTTGTTTGTTACACCAACCTTGCATTCCAGAGACAAAATCTCACACGGTTATGCTGTATAATCGTTTTTGTATGTTACCGGATTTGGCTAATATTTTGTTGAGGATTTTTTTTTAAAAAGATGTATTTATTTCAAAGGCAGAGTTACAGAGAGAGAGGAAGAGACAGAGAGCCAGACAGAGACAGATCTTCCATCCCATAGTTCACTCCCCAAATTGTTGCAACCCTAGGGCTGATCCAGGCCAAAGCCAGGATCCTGGAATTCCATCCTGATGGCACTGGGGCCATCTTCCGTTGCTTTCCCAGATGCATTAGCAGAGAACTGTATCAGAAGGGGGACAGGAGCTGAAGCCCACATGGCTGACGGTGGCTTAACACTCTGTGCCACACTGTCTCCCTTGTTGAGGGTCTTTTGGCATTAATATTCATAAGGCAAGTTTTCTTGTCATGTCTGCCTGATTTGGTTATCCCCCTCCTCCTCCCCTTCTCAGGTGGGAAATCATTGCATATAGGCCCTAGTTTTGAGACAAGACTCCACGAAGAAGCCACTCAGGTAAATGGACATTTCTCTATCTAGCAGAGAAAGGTCATACACTCCTTTAAGGTCTCTTATTAGACTCCTTCGCCTTCCTCAAGCCGAGTAATAAAACTTGCTTTCATATTCCAAATCTTATTTATAGTCGTTTGATCATCTATTTTCATGGCTGTGAATCCGGGGTTTATGGGCACTGCCAGGTCACCATTTATTCCAAGCGGCCCCCTCACTGCCTGGATGAGCACTTTGATTTACCTCTAGTCACCAATCTACCTGCCAGCTGTCATTTGTCAAGAGTCAGGCCTCTTCAGTGCTTAGCCCCAGCCGTGCACAGATGGAACAAGAGGGTAAGCGACGACGACGGTGACATCAGAGGGGAAAAACCAAGGCCAGGTCCTGGTGTTGCCTCAGGACGAGGCTTAGGCATGGAGATGGGTGGCTGGGACGCCTGCGGAGTTTCAGTAGGAATGGACCCTGCAGGTGGAACTGGGGCCAGAACTCCAGGGGGCTGGGAGAGGACGAGGGAGACCGCAACTTCGGTTGCTCTGGTGAGCGGAGGAGCAGACGGCAAAACTTTGCAAGGGTTCCGCCCCGCCGCGCGCGGCCCGCGCTGCCTGCCGGTCTGCGCGGGGTCAGGGCGCGGCGCCGCCCACGCGCGGCCCGGGTGGGAGCTGGCTGAGGTGGGGCGAGACGGGCCGGTGGCGGCGGCGGCGGCTCGGGGGCCGAGCCCGAGGCCGCAGGGTCGGGGCTGCAGGCGCAGCTCGCGCGCTTTCCGCGGGGTTTGGCTCCTGTCGCTTCCCGTCTCCCCGAGCCGGCATCGCCGCCGCCGGAGCCGCCGCGAGTCCTCAGCGCCAGGCTGCCGGCGGCCGGCCGGGCGCGCCGGGAGGGGGCGCGGAGCGAGGCGCTCCGGGACGCGGACGCAGGTAAGGGCCGGCGGCCGCGAGCCCGCGGGGCGCGGCGCAGCGTCTCCTCGAGGCGGCGCGGCCTCGGCGCGGCGCGGCGCGGCCCGGCCGCACGGTCACGGGCGCCCATGCTGGCCCCCGAGCGCGGACGCGCCGAGTGGCAGGGCTGCCGCCGGGCTGGGGCTGGCCGGGCTGCCGGTCTCGCGGGCCTCAGGTGACGCGGCGGCGGCTTAACTTTCGCGCTCGGGGCCGAGAGGCTGGCGATCCCGGGGGTTGGGTTGCCGGAGCCCTGGCGGGGAAGCGCCGGGGGCGTGGCGGGGGAGGCCGGGGCCGCCGGGGAGGGTGTGAGGGGTCCGACCCGCGTGCTGTCCGGGTCCGGAGCGAGGAGGAGCCGTGGGCTGCTTCCCCTCAGAGCTGGTGGGGACGGTGGGCTCTCGCAGCCCGGCGCGGCCGCTTCCCCGACACGGATCCACTTTCATTGTCTGGTCCATTTCAGTATCGGCGTTTCAGCCGCTTTTGTTGCAGCCTCGGGTCCGGAGCGTCCAGACTCTGTGGCAGGCACGGGTCCGAAGGGGAGCCCCGAAAGGCAGCCGGGCGGCGGGGGTCCTGGGAGGGGAGATGGTGATGAGTGCTGTCGTCAGCGCTAACATGGACATTACCGTGTTCTTCGCGAGAGAGCACTCGGTATTTTTGTAGGATCTAATGGGTTTAAGTGCACCCGTGAAAGGGTTCATTAGTTAACTTCAAAGGAGCGTCATGTGGGCAGGTTACTATTAAATTACCCATTTCATAGGCCAGACAGCTGAGACGCCCACGAAGAAAAGTACTGATTATATCAAAAGTGAGCAGTCAGTGCAGGTGGAAGTTGGGATTAGAACTTGGCTGAGTTGCCCTCCATCCAGCCCGTCTCCAAGCCTCAAGTGCAAAGGAGCATTCAAAGAATGCCGGTCTGACACCTTTTCTATTGCTGTTTACGCATCGTTACAGTTTTTCTTTATGAATATTGCTGAACGCTTTTAGGTCCCTGGGTGAGTACCCCCTAAAAGTGATGCTTGAAAGATCACAATGACTCTGGGAAGGAGTAAAATCCCTTTGTCTTTCATTTGTCAGCTCTTTGATTTCCTGACTAGATGCAGTGGTACTGACAGCCCCAGAGAGCCTTGATGATCCTAACAGAGACCCTAAATTGTTATTTAATAAATGAGCAGAATGGAAGATGTAGGCTGCTAGGTATCCCTGCATATTGAGCAGCAAGTTTACTTTTCTTAGAAAGAATTGAACATTTAGGAGAGTAATCATTTTAGTTGTTTTCATGAAAATTGTTCAGATATTGTAAATGTGTTATGGTTGTTGTGCTTTATCTCCCTAGAACTGACAGTCTTTTGCCAGTTTCCCTACTGTTTGCTCGTAGCTGGTTTTGCCAGTAGATTGTTTATTGCCTCATTTGGCTTCCTCTTTTTCATTTTTATGTATTTGGTTTTTAAAGTGATTTTTTTCTTCCAAAATTCATGAGAGTATTTTAAAAAAACAAGCTTTCTTTCTTGGTAAAAGAGAGTTAACTGGAACTTTTATGAGTGTATATCTGAGGCGAGACACCAGCCTGTTAATGAGTAACTCTCAAACATCAAACAGGAGTTCTTCCAAGCTAGTATGCAATAAATGATCACTTTTAATAGACCTCTAATATTTTATGACACACCTACCTGAATAATAATACTTTTCATTTATGTAATGTCTTTGTCAAGAAAATTAAGCTAAAACATTTCACTTAAATTGTGCTGTGTAGAGCAGAATTTTAGGGGACAGTGTTCCTAGTTTTAATTGTTGCCTCATGGAATAGACAAAGTTTTCTTTCCTTTATAGCACCTCCACTCAGCCATCTGAAAAAAGAATGGTAAATCTGCATTTTGTTTCATAGGGGTATGTAAAGAATTAATGAAGTTATATCTAGGAAATAGCTTCAACTCAAAGAAAACGGCTTTGTGACTTTGAAGTGTGTCTACTCACAGTCCTGAAATACTAAACATGTCATCATTTAAGTTTGTAATGAGAGTGCTTATTGTAAGTAGTCATCTTTGGAGTCTGAAAGCTTTTTCCAGTAGTACAGCTGCTATTCATAAGTATTTTGAATCTTTTGAAATTTTTACTTAAGCATCATAAAATGTGATTTTTATGATCACTTTTGTGAGTATTTTTTCATTTGTGTATTTTTAATTAACGTTAGCAACTTAGCTTGAGCACTTATTTTGTATACTAAATAGGCAGAAGGATTTCTGCACGGTTCTCAGTTCTGCCTTTAGGATTTTACCACTTTATTAAGGCTATTTAAAGGATTATCCTGGTGAAAAGAAAGTCAGTTTCAAAAGGGAAGTTTAAAAATAGATTAAAATAGTGACAACATTATTAGAATAGCCGTGCAGCATCCCAGAGGACTACTCTGAAGGGGGCAAGGCTTACTTGGAGGCTGAGATTCTATAACAATTACGTGTTATTAAACATTTTGAAGCTAATAATTTATATTGTAATCTATGAGTTACACCTTTTCATCATATTGACTTTTCTGGGAATCAGAAACTTCACATATATGTTAAATAGATCATATGAAAGTTGGTCACATATAAAGGAATAGGGTTTGGTTGGGACTATATTTTATACTGACATTTCAACGTCACATACATGCAAATGTAAATCAAATAATTTAGAACCATAAAATTTGGCTCCACATTGTATGTTTTGAGTCTAATATACCTGGAGTATGCCAAACTATAAAATTGTTACTTAAAAAACAAAATTAGCAAGTTACTGGTACAATAGACTTTCCTGACCACACCATTGTCAAAAGACAAAATTGCAACAAATTTAAAGATCTGGTTGGTTTTTATTAGCAGTTTTAGAATCTGGCAGCATTTCATGGTACAAAATAGAGTGTTCTAGGGCCTGTGACAGAGAAGTTGGTTTTATAAAGTGGAAACAAGGAAACAATAATGTATATTAAGTGGATTGGTTTACTTCAGGTTTGATTTTTTTTTGGTAGGCATTAAATGATAGGGGATTTTCTTATGCCAGTTCACTGTGACTGAACCCTTTCAAACTGGTTCCTAGGAATATCCTGTTCTTAGGAAAAACTGGTCTCTTTGTAGTATTATCTGCTTCTTTAAAGTTTCATTTTGATTATGCGGCATTAAGCATGAGTAACTTCATTTTTGTTTGGTTCATTCTAAAATATTGTCCTGTAAAGTTTTACTTAATACCACTTACCAGGGACATTCATTTTCTTCATTCTGTCTGGGTTGTTTATTACTATATTACTGTTTTACATGCTGTCTTAGATCATTTGTGCTGCAATAGCAAAATACCTGAGACTGGGTAATTAATAAAGAACAGAAGTTTCCGTTTAAAAAAATTTGAATTAGAGAGAGAGAGAGAGAGAATGAGAATCGAGATCCTATATGCTAGTTTACCTCCCAAGTGCCCATAGGTCAAGTCAACAGGGAGCAAAAAAGCCCCTTGAGCTATCGCCTGTTCCCTCTCAGGGTTCACACTAGCAGGAAGCTGAAATCAGGTGGAGCCAAGACTTGAACCCAGGCATTCTGATATGGGATTCAGGTGTCCCCACTGGCCTCTGAACCATTAGGCAACACACTTGCTGCTGAAGTTTATTCCTGGCAAATCCGAGAAAAGAAAAGGGTGCTAGCAGATTTGATGTCTGGAGGGGGCCTTGATCTCTGTTTCTAAAATGAGCATTGTATCTTCCTGTGGTGGAAAATGGAAGGGCAAAAGAGTTAGAAGCTAGTTCCTTCCAGCCTTTTTGTAAGGTTTTAATCCACTTACAAAGTTATGAGGGTAACTTGTAACTTAAATACTTCCCAAAAGGCCCTACCTCTTTTTTTTTTTTTTTTTTTTTTTAAAGATCTTATTTATTTGTGAGGTGTGTTACAAGACAGAGAGAGGGAGAGACAGAAAGAAAGGTCTTCTATCCACTGGTTCACTCCCCAGATGGCCTTAACAGCCGGAGCTGAGCCTACGCGAAACCATAAGCTTTTTTCGGATCTCCCACGTGGGTGCAGAAGCCCAAGCACCTATGCCATCTTTTACTGCTTTCCCAGGCCACAGCAGAGAGCTGGATTGGAAGAGGAGCAGCTGGGACTCTTGGGTACCCATATGGGATTCTGGTGCTGTAGTTGGAGGCTTAGCCCACTAGTTACGGTGCCAGTCCAAGGCCCTACCTCTTAATACTACCACAATGAAAATAAAGTTTCAACATAAATTTTGGTGAAGTCATACTCAGATCAAGCATATGTGTAAGTGGCAGAAAAGTTAAAAAGAAAATACCATCATTTAAGAGATTGATTGGTCTGGTCCCCTAAAATCACTATGAAGAATGAGTTTTATGATCAACATATGACCTCACTTCTGAGGTCAGAAAAGTAGGAAATTTTCTTTGCAATCTGAATAAAGAGTTGCTTATCTTTTGATATTCAAGTGGGAAAAGTCCCATTATTTATCAGCAACATCTCTTTTAATTGATAATAAATGGAAACTTTGAGAGAAGTCACTGACTTTGAAAAGCAGACTATTGAAGTGACAAGTAAATTACCAGTAGCAAGCAGAAATTACCCCTAGAATGGCCTTGTCAAAAATGAGCG